TCATCACATTGCGATCTCCAGATCTGACCTCATCCTCATACTTCACTTTCCGTGTGTCAAGCGATTCGACATCCGAAGCTAGTGGTCTTGTAGATTGCGCGCCCCTTGAACGGCCGTGCTACTATTTTTCACCACTGTTACATTCCGGAATTTGTCTACCTAATGGCCAAATATGCGTGCTTTACTCGTACACAGAATGGAATTCATCGTAATGATTAAAGATGTTGTGATGAAAAATTATACTGCCTTGTTCGGAGTACCAGTCAATAAACAACCGCACAAATACTCCAAACGCGGAAAACACGTTCCGGCCGGTCGGCAAACCGCCCTCGGTCACACTACTTCCGATAAGATGACTGTACCTACAATTGTGGATAACAATGCCCGTTCTTTGTTTGGGAAGCTTCCGGGTTTACCCTACCTGCACTAGCAAATGAATTTCACACCTCTTTTTATTTTCAGGATTCACGGGCTCAGTGACGATGTGGAAAATTCCGTGATCCAATTGGGTAATTTTGCCTGCTCCAGACAGGGTAGACAACGGTGTAGGAAGAAGTTGGGAGGCAGTGTAATTACTGATAGCAACTCCAAGTGGTATGGCAAATGCGAACTACTTTCCAAGTATTAAAAAAATTTGTATTGACTACTTGACTGTGGTCTGTCACCCTAAATTTTCTTGCTTTCCTTTTATCGCCATTACCAGTTTGTACATTGCACCCCATTGTAGTTTATCAGACATTGACACACTTAATGATCATTTCTTTCCGATTATAATCCCATCTCTTGCTGACAGCTTGCACCTAAAAGTTGGTGACTTTATCCACACACCCCTGCACTCTTTATTCTGTCTAAACAATGGTGACCTTATTATTGAACCAACTAGAGAAAGCTCGCATCTATAGATCACATAATCACAATGCACGCTGACACACTTGCTGCAAAAAAATCTCCTCCTTATACACCAGTGTTCATAGCCTTATCCAGGTCAGACCTAAACTTTACTCACGCTCAGAACATATTTCTTTTAGCCGAACTAAATACATCAGTTTCCAACAGCAATATTGCTCTGCAAAGAGAGTCTCTTAAGGTGGCTACCGATTGTTTTCCTTTAACGCAACCCGGTTTTCCAATAACACATTTCTAAAAGACGTATTAAACCGTGTTTTTGACATGTGCTATCCTGTAATAACCCTGTTTCTTCAACATGGCAGAATATAATAAGCACCTTTATTAAAACGTCTTCGTTGTGAAAAGGAATGTGTATGTAAATTTGGCAGGAAGACATAAATACATCGACTATTTTTTCTGATCAAGAGTGAAATAAGACGACTGGATTCAACCTATGCAAGTCAGCCTTTTGGGACGAAGAACTGCAAATGTGGCGTGGAATCCAACTACTCTGCGGGCAAAAGAAAATGATTTACAATTTTTCTGCTGATATTCAACAACTGAATGCTGCATTCATTCATTGTTCGTCTGGCACATGCTCCAGTTATACTGAATTGAGTTCACCGAATAACCCAACTTCGGCTGAATGTATATACACATGCGTTCTTTCACGTTTTCGACTGCAACTGGTCCGGACAAATTAAGTCCAACACTTCTTACACACGGTGCTGTGCCACTGTCTCACAGCTAATCTCCCAAGCGAACTCCACACTTTTCTGGAGTGCTGGTGCCCGATGAGAGTTATACCAATCCCCAAAGGAACGACAAAGGCCACAACTGCCGAACGTTTCAGGCCAATTGCTCTCACTTTTGAAATTAATGAACTGGTCAGTTCTGTATTGCCTTCAGTTATCTCTCACCACCTCCCATGAAATTTATCGGTTTGCTAACAAACATAACCGCTTTACGTTGAATGTCATTTCTTCTCAAGTTCACTTCATCTGCAAGTCCCTAAACGAGAAAGCCAAATATGTGCACTGTGCATTTCTTGCTTATTGTTCCGCATTTGACTCAGTGCCGCGTTCTCTTTCATTTAACAAGCTCCAACCATTTCGTGATTAATTTTCGTAACGATACCAGTATGTTAAAGCGGGAAGAAGATAGTCAACCATCACTCAAAAGTTCCGGTGTACTTTGAGGTGTTTTCTTATCATCCAATCTTTTTGCGGCATATGTCAGTGACTATTATAATTACTCCCCCTGTACGTCATTTTAATTATGCTGATGATATCGCTATCTCTGTTTCCGTATCTAACCAATCAAAACTGGTTGCGTATAACACACACTTACCCTTTCTCGTTACGCATTCCATTTGATCTGGTCTAAATCTCGATCCCGAAAAGTGCTTTCAATGTATTCTTACTTTCGACCGTTCCCCATCTCCCTCCGACAATGTACAGATTCAAGGAAAGCCGGTGAACATGGCCAGCCAGATGAAGTACATGGGTGTCACGCTTGAAATTAACCTTCACTGGTCTTTACCTACCTAAACTGTTGCTCGCCAGCTGAAAGTTCTCTCCTTTGAGATAAGAAGAATGTGCCTCTTCTGTCCTGATTTGTCGTTGATAGGAGCTGTTGTTCAACAATGTGCTCTCTCTGTACCCCTTTGATTTCCCCTGGTTTTCTGAAGGTTTATTTCTAGCTGCTAAGGTGTGGTCTTTCAATGCTTTGCCATGTTCCTTAAGCTCCGTTATCCGTTCTGATTGGCGATATCTGTGATGCTCATATTGATTCGTGCTCGAAGTTTGCTGGTTGCACCCATCATTTACACA